CTGTTTACATTGATTTTATTTACAGGGTCGATCAATCTTTCCAAGTTCATGACATAGGTAATAACACCAATCTTTTCACTAAATTACTGAATTTATCCTAGTTACATAAAGATTTAATAAAAAAAAGTATCACATGTATGCTTAGTCCTTTATTAAATCTGCATCAAATTTTAATTTAATCTTAAATTTGCGATGTTAAAATTAAAAAACTAAAAGTATACTTAAAAACGTAAGAAATTAACATGAAATTTGATGTAAACTTAAAGTATCAATCATGTAAAAAGGAGGGGGAAAATAATCACTTGCTATTAATGTATGCATCTTAAATAAGACTTATCTAAGTCACTACATCATCTCACACAATGGAATTGCTATTCAGTATGAAGGTAATGGATCACTCTGCCTTAGCTGAACATATTGGTTATGAAAATATATGCTATCCATGAGAAGATAAATACATTAAGAACAGAGAAGATTTGAAACTAAAACCTTCTGTAAACTAACAATCCTCACCACTATACTAAATTTTTGCCTTTTAAGGAGAAAAATAAAATTCCTCAATAAACAATATAATGCTGGTTAAATAAGTACAAATATATTATGACAAGTTACTACACAACACTTGATGTCATTATCTGTTTTCTAAGTGCATGATTATGCTGTCACAGTAGATGATCTCTGTGACTTTAACGCGAACAAATCTCCAAAAAGTTTAGGAACCATATGTGGAAGATTCCGGGACTTAGGAGCCATGAAGTTTACGACATTTTCATAAACATTATACCTTCAATGCCACATTACACAATATAAACAGCAGATTAGTAAAAAATCTCTTTTCAGTTCGAGAGAATTTTACAATATATATGTATATACCCGTGACAAAAAGTAATGGAACGGAACAAGAAAATGCCATCTTCATCAACTAACCCTATCTTGCGACTTTTTAAGGCCCAGCGATCGACAAGTTTCCTTTTCTTTGGTTACATCTTCAAAGCTTAAAGCGCTTTCTCTGTATGATTCACAACAACGGAAAATAAGAACGTGACTTCCACTTGCATGGCATAAGGTTAACACTATGATCTCTAGGAAAGTAGCTCATGCTAATTATAGGCTTAAAAAATTTGATCAGAACTATTTAGATGGAAAAATAATAATAAATCACTACTAATTCTATAATCTTTCTAGGAAACCTTTCACGCTAAATATCAAGTGTAATTCGCTCATAATTGCCAAAATACATTTTAAGTTAATTAAAAGAGGATGTCGTGACCAATCTAATATTCCAACGACATCATCAAAAGTAAAAATATGAATACAATATATAAATAATGCCTGTTTAGCCAAAAACAAGACAATTATTACTTACTGGATGATGTAGGATCGATTGTCTCAATAAAACTCTTTTAGTAATTGTAGATAAAATTCGAGAGTCATCTAGAAGTTTGGGATTGCCATCAATATGAGTTTCCTGAACAAATTCGAATTCATAACTGTCATGTTGGAAATAAATATTGCTCTACGTTGCTAAGCACAAGCAAACAAAATAGATAAAAAGGATATTAAAATAATAATCAATAACAAAATGCCAAGCATTAAGAGTATGAAGACTTAAAATCCATGATCGAAACACTTGAATGGCTTCCTTTAAAAAATATCACATGGTACATACCAAAATGACTTGCTTTTGTATGCACGATTCAACATGGAGAAAAACATAAAGGTTTTGTTTTAACTCAACTAGCAAAATCATAACTGAGTGTGGTTTACTCTGTTTCTTGGCCATATCAAAGCCCATAAATATGCGACAAAAAAGGAACTTTTTGCCAAAAAGATAGATTTTCAAAGAACACCATTAAATGAAGCACCAAAGGAAACAATCATCCCCAATACCTTGAGAGCTCTCAAAGAAGAAAGAGATGTTGGTAAATAATGCTCCCTCTGTTTTGTGTAAATCCTTTTAACTTCTTTACACAAAAAAAAAAAAAAAAGAAACAGAAAATTTGCTACAATTCTATCTCTACTTCTTTCTTTTGAAGTGATTTTTGTGTGAGCAGTTTTTTTTTCTTTTGTTTTTTGCGGTGTTACATGGCAATAGTAGTTTGCAACAGAAGAATTATAACTCTATTAATATGTTAAAACAGAGCAAAAATGAGAGAAACAATATAAGCATTCCACATGTTCTTATTCTAAGGTGTGGAATACGAAATTACTACAATTATATAAAATCTATTTTAGAAAAATTTACATATGGATTACATATATTAAGAATATTTTTTTCACAAATAATTATCTAAACTAATTTTTTTTAATCTGTTAAAATTAAAATTAGATATGTACTCCTTACATTTAATACGGGACAGAGAATAAGAAGGTTGTGGTATTACAATAAAAATTGGAATGAGGTGGGATATTAGAGCCTCCAAAATATGCATTTGTACAATCGTCAAACAGTGCGGTGCGCATAAAGAACGTAACGCTATGTCGGCCCCAAGAGCAAAAGCTTGGAAATTTCTTTGTGGAAGAAGTAATAAAGAAATTAAAGCACCAAAAACCATTAAAGCAACTTTAACACGCGTACTTTTATTTCCTATAACTAGTTTTAAAATAAATAAAGTTGTTGTTGATAAAAAAACATGAAATGAATAAGTAAAGTTTAGCTGTCTTGCAACTTCGTCCCAGTTTCGAAATATTTGGCCAAATGATGATACAAGGAAGCAACACCGCAATCCGCAAAAGTGACAAACGCGACAGGACTTGGCTTGTTGACTCAGCCTTCCACCATTAAATTTTACCTTTTTATGTTAAATTAATTTAAATTTATTGTATTATGTAAATTTATTTTTTTATCATGTTTTATTATTTATTAAAACTCATACTTATTTTGGTAATTTTACAAACAAACTTATTTTTATTCAATCATAATCCAAATAATCTTTTACCCAATCTAATTTTTATAAACTAACTTTTAAAAACTCCATTCCAAACACAATTCATCTTACTCAATTTAATTTTTACTCAATCTTATTTTTTTTAAAAATCAGATTAAAAATAAACTATTTTTTCTACTACTAATCCAAACAGATCTATTATCCCAACAGTCCATAAGCTACTTCAAAAAGACTCCTTCCTCTCGTATACTCACCTGGTATTCTATAGATTACTATTAATTGTCCCACAACTTCGTCCCAACTTCGTCCCACTTGACTGGAAAAGGAAAGGAGGGAAAAAGAAGGGGAGAGAGAAAAGTGACAAACGCGGGATGACTTGACTGGTTGATTAGGAAGGCTAAAGCAAGACATAAATATGCTAGGAATCGAGGCATTTGTTGATCTCCGTATCTGAACTACTTGTTTGAAGAGAAAGCAATTCTGATCTGCAAATTCTGAAAGCTGCCATTTTTGAGACCGAGCTTTGCTTATGAGCTATTTCTTTGGCGCTTCCCTTCACATTCAGGTTCTCTCTTCTCTTTTAATTGCACTGTCCCATGAATCCATCATCCTTCTATTCTTCTGCCTGCAAAAGATCTGTTGTTTTATTTCTTTTCCTAGTGCTGCTAATTCAATCTCCTCCTTGGCTCCCTTAGTGTCATACATCAAATAAAACTTAAACATTTGAATTTCTTTTACACTTCAACTTCTGGAAAAACAAAGTCCTAAAACCTTCAAAGATATGGACGCACTTGATCTATTGATTAAGCTCTTCATTTATTTATTCATATTTTTCTTAATGAAGTAAACAAACTGATTTATTTATTTTATTTGAAAAAGTGAAATGCTTCTTGTGTTCGCCTTAATCACTCCCCATTTCGTTGTCATGCGTGAAAAAGGCAACCCCGGCAGGGCTTATTCTCTTTTCTCATGATCCATTTGCTTAATCCCACCTATCGCCAATTTTACCAGTATTTTCCTAGAATTTTTACGGTTTTGTTTTCCCCCAAACAAACAAAAAATATCAATACAGATGAATTTATTCAGTCCAACTTCTTTTCAAAGAAAAAAACCACTAACACATGGCCTGGCTAATACGCCATCAACGCGTGTACTTTTACTCACTGTAGCTCTGCTTCTTTTAAAATAAATCAAGTTGTTGGTAAAAATAAAAATAAAAAATCAAATAAATCAGTAAAGTTGCTATGTGGACTTGACTGATAAGTTAAAGTTGGCCCGATGATGAACTCTTTCTTTCGCACTATTATTCCATCCATAAATATATGCCCTTCATTTTAACATCAATCGTTACTCTCCATCAAGTTGCTATATATTGATCGTTCAGCAACTTGTTCCCACTTGCTAAATATTTTTGTTTGATCTTTTTAGCACGTTAATCAAGAACCAAACCATCAACACGCGAGCTTCCCGGAAACTGGCATAAGAGCCTCTGAAACACGGAGACAAATACATGTGAGTGAGGCATTTGGTGATCCCTGAATCAAAACTGAAGAGCTTGTTTCAAGAGAAAGCAAAGTTTGCGAGTTCTGAAGCTGCCATTTTATGAGAGCTATTTCTTTCGCTTCCCTCCACATCCGTCCAGGTTCATTTCTTCTCTTTTACTTGCTTTATCGCATAGATCCATTATCCTTCTACTATTTTCCCTGCATTCCCCCCCGGGGCGGGCAATTTTCATAGAAAAATTCTGCAAAAGATTTTCTGTTTTCTTCTCCTAGTGCTAGCTGTTGATTGATTCTCCTCCTTGGCTGGTTTACAGTCGTAGATCTATTGACCAAAGTAAACAGTTGATTTATTTATTATATTATAAAATCAAAAGCAAAGTACCTGTTCTTTCTTTCATCCTAATCACTCCCCATTTCGTTGTTATGCTTAAGAAAAGGCATCGCTATAAACCAACAGGGCATATTCTCTCTTCTTCTTTTTTTTTTTTCATAATCCACTTGCTTGATCCCACTTGTCTCTAGTTTTACCAGTGCTTTCCCTAGTGTCTGTGTTAATCCCAGAAAACTTCATTACATTTGATTATTAATTATTCGTTAAATTCCTTTGAAGAACTTGATTGAAGAGGAGGACATCTGCAAATTAAGCTCGAAACTGACATGTTTTAGACCTTGTGAGCTAATTAAGCTGACATCCACCAGGTTAATACTGTCCATTAATTCTTTTCTTTTTCTCCTCTACTTGCTTCGTCCTATTAAAATATACTGTTTTGCAAGCATTTCCATAAAATTTTCAGTGTTTTCTTCTCACGGGCCACATATTGCAACAAAGTTTGTTAATTTCTTCTTTCTTCTAGTGTTGATAATCTCATCCCTGGCTACCTTACTTGCTGAAGGCTGAAGCTAGAAACTGCTGTCACAACCATTGCTTCAATGCTCCAAAAAGCTTTATTGATCCTATTGGGAGTATCAATTTCCAAAACTATCAGACTCATCTCTCGTTCGCGTAATTGTAACCAACTTGTTGGTATTGATGCTTGGTAGCTGCCTTCTTCTAAATAACCTCACACTCTTTATTTTATTGTTTGATTTGCTCCTACACATAACGCAATATCTATTCACTGTTTGTTTCTTTTTGTAGCTCTGAAGACAATATTATTTTAACTCAAACGGTTTCTCCTCCTGCTACCAAGTATGATGTGTTCCTTAGCTTTAGAGGAGAAGACACTCGCCACAATTTTGCAAGTTCTCTTTACAGAAGGCTACAAAATGCGGGCATTCACACTTTTATGGATCATGAACTTCGAAAAGGAGAACCAATCTCACCGGTTCTTCTAAGAACAATAGAGGAATCAAAAATATCTGTGATTATTTTCTCTTATCATTATGCTTCTTCAACTTGGTGTCTGGATGAGCTTGTTCATATATTAGAATGCAAGCGTAAATTTGGAAGGATTGCTATACCTATTTTCTATAATGTAGATCCTTCAGACGTGCGCAAACAAAACGGGAATTTTGGAAAAGGATTTAATGTATTGAAGCAAAGATTTAAAGACAACCAACAAAAATTACAAAAGTGGAGTAATGCTTTATTCCAATCCACAAGTCTCTCTGGATGGGATCCCCACAGCACGAGGTGACTTCAAAAATGTTCCTTTTGTTGTTGATTTGGGGGATTTATTTAATTAATTTTTAGAATCCCAGCAAATTATTGTTGTTATTTTTATTTCTATTCCTATTTTCTCACTATTAAATACCCATTTTCTTTTGATTGCCATTTGTGCTAGACCTGAATTCAAACTTATTGAAGAGATTGTCAAGGATATTTTGAGGAAGTTGAGCTATGCGTCATCATCTCATCTTGAAGGACTCATTGGTATTGCTCGACATATTGAAAACATTCAAAGGCTTCTGACTGAGGCTCGCATTGTGGGAATATGGGGTATGGGTGGTGCTGGTAAGACCACACTTGCTAAAGCTATATTTCAAGAGTTGAAAGCTCAATTTGATGCTTTCTCCTTTATTGAAAATGTCAAAAAGCAATTAAAAAGAATTAGTTTGGATGAGCTGCAGAAGAATTACCTTAAAGAATTATTAAAAGATGAGGATATTAGCATCTATGACATAAAATCCACTTTTGTGAAAAATAGGCTTCAGAGAAAAAAAATTCTTCTTATACTTGATGATGTAGACAATTCAACAGTAGCGGCAGATTTAACCAGGGTACTTGATTGGTTTGGAGAAGGAAGTAGAATTATTATCACATCAAGGGACATGCAAGTGCTGAAGAATGCTTCTGCGACATTCTCAACATATCATGTTCCGGATTTGGATTTTGAAGATGCTTTTCATCTCTTCAGTTTGAAAGCATTCAAGCGACATGAGCCATCTAAAGGTTACATGGAGTTATCAAAATCAGTAGTGAAATATTGTCACGGAAACCCGTTAGCCCTAGTAGTGCTGGGTTGCTTCCTCTATGGTAGACAAAAAGAAGAGTGGGAAAGTGCTCTGGAAAAACTAAGTCAAGCTCCACCCAAGGACATTGTTGATGTTCTAAAGTTGAGTTTCGATGGACTTGATGACAAACAGCAAAATGTGTTTCTTGACCTGGCATTCTTAATCAAGCAAGGAGTTCATATTTCTTTGAACCTATTGAGACAATTATATTGTTCTTCTATGCATATTGAGATAAGTGTTCTAAGAGAAAAATCCCTCATTTCATTTAATGATCATAATGATTTCATTGAGATGCATGATCTTTTGAGGGAAACGGGCCTTGAAATTTCAAGCCAACAATTATTCTCTGGTCATAAAACACATGTTCAACTATGGAGGCACGAGGACATTTATCACTTTTTCCACAATGACCAGGTAATACATTATTTTTTTGGTTATATTCTTTATTCTCTTAATAGTTCATATTTTTTTTCCTTGTGATGTATTTTCTTAAAGTTATTTGTTTATTCATTAAATTCTTCGATAAGTGTCAATATCTGCCCAAATAGACCATTTAAAAAAAAAAACTCCTTTCTTTGACTAAAATTGGTTGGAGCAAAGCAAAGTTTTTTTATTGGGTGTGATTTTTTAAGCTTAAAATTTTAGTTTTATAATTAAAAAATAAAAAAAAATTTCAAAATATATTGGGTCTTATATTAAATATATTCACTACGCTAGGTGTTATATTGAATTTGGTCATAAAAATATATTCTTGAATTTGATCCTAAATATGTTAGGTGTAATTTTAAGCTTAAACTCTTAAACTTTCTATTAGTTCTGAGATAGAATATGATAAGGATGATGTAAGACGTATTTTTAAATTCAGAGCATGAACGATCTTCGATAAATTATAAAATTATCCACAAAAATTGACATTTTTTTATATTAATAATAGCAGTAGCAAAAATTGATGTGATTGCATGTATACTTACACACTGCACATGCATGCTCGCGCGTTTTCTTGATAAAAATTCAGTAATATTGCAAAAAGGTACAAATTATGATATTTAGACATAAATTTTTTTTTAAAAAGAATTTTATATATGCTGGGCGGTTTTATATACAATAGTTTTAAGAATTTAAGCATGTTCGTATGGTTGTCCCCGCGGGCCTGAGTGCATTTGTTTTGTCCAATTTATTTATTGTAAGATAAAATGAGTTGTTTGAATAAAGTGCGCAAAGGTATATTCATTTAGAAATTCCTAAAAGAAATATATTTAATGGTTCTATTTATTATTTGATCACCTTTTACATATTACTGATTTTTTTCCCATAATTTCATCAGTAGGCGGCTGAGGCGATTCAATACTCATCATTAGACATGAAGAAGATAAACAGGATTGCAATAACAATTAGTAATATTCAGAAGAATTATAATTTAAAATTAGCTAGGTATTTTGTCATGCGTTGTTTTAGAAGATAAAATTAGTGTACAAAAAATTTTCATTAAGTGATATATGCATACGCGTGTGTGAGCATAATTTACTGTTATTTGAAGTACAATGGGAAAATAAAAAAATAATTTTTTGCTTTTATAGTTATATTATAAATATGTGCACATGCATGTAGGCATACGCATCAATGTGTCTGCGTATTTATGATTGTTGAGAAATTCATATATTACGTGGAAAACATGAATTGTAAGGAATTTTGAATAAAATGGATATAGCAATGTTAATTTGTATAAAAGTTGATATATTTAATTGTTCTATGTTATTTATGGTCATTTTTTTAGGTATGATAATTGTGTTTCCCTCAATTTGATATTATTACCAGGCCATTGAGGCAATTCGATGCATGTCGTTGGATGCAAGCAAGATAGAAAGCATCACATTGACGGCTAGTCATTTTCGAAGGATGCATTATTTAATGTCCCTTCAAGTTTACAAGTCAGATCAGGAAAAGCCTTCAAAGTTGAATATTTGTGAAACGTTGGATTACCTTTCTAAAGAATTAAGGTTTCTTACTTGGGAAGAATATCCACTGCCATCTGTGCCGTTACAATTTTGTGCTGGGAATCTCATTGAACTTGATTTGCTTAACAATAATATCCAACAACTTTGGGATCAGGTACGTATCGTTTCTCATATGTCATAATTTTGTTGTTGCTGTGATTCTAAGAAACGTTGACTAAAGTGATTCATGATGCAAATGTTTGCTTTATTACTATCTTTAAATTGATGGTACTAGTAATTGTACTATCTACGAGGAGGCCAACTGTACTTGTAATGGGTATGAGAAAAATTGTTGAGTAAATTGTACGTGCGTGTAGTTATGTAATTTATTTAACACTACTGCTTTGTCTTTCTTTTTCCCCAGCAATTTCCAAATATAAGGAGAATAAATCTAGAGGATTCAAAAAATCTCAGGGCACTCCTAGATTTGTCTCAAACCCCTAAGATTGAAAGTATGATTCTTCATGGTTGCGTGAATTTAGGTCCAATCCATTCTTCGACTATGCTGAAAGGGAATGTCATTTTATTTATAGAAGATTGTGGGCCGATGCAAATAAATGTCGGGGGCAGTATGAAAGGGAGAAGTTCATCAGGGTTAGTGATTATGTACAATTATTTGGATCTTGTCGATTTGACATTCAATAAAGTGACAATGAAGGTGATGGTGTGCGGCAAGATGATGTGTGGCGTTGGATTTAAGCATGTAACAATGCCATTGAATGAGACGGCCGAATTCATGATAATGGGAATACAAAGTTTGGCGGCTTTACTTCCATTTATGAGGACAATTGAATGGTTAGAGAGTCCAATTGAGTTTGGGCATGATTTCAACCAACATCATACCTATGATGTTGAACATAAGTACTGGAGAAGTGTCAACCCTCGTTTTACTGTGAGGGTGAGGGGTGATAGAGGCGAAAGGGTTGTGAAAGATAATGAAGAAGAGGATGAGGATGATAGAGAAACGATTAGTGAGAATGAAAGAGAAATGAGTAGTAAAGGTGATCAAATAGTAGAGATGACATTATTATTAATGGAAGATGAACAAGAAGAGGCCGATGAGGATGATAGTAAGATGGACGATACATTATTAACAACACTACTTATTCTCAACACCATCCCTCGCTGGTCACTATTGATTCGACTGACATTAAAAGAGGGTGATAGTATTGGGAATAAAAATGCAGGTTGCAGTAGCATCCCTCAAGTTTCAATATTCCTGAAATCACTTAATGAAGATTGCAAAACAAGGATTCAGCCTCTCTTAGGAGTACAACTCTCTTCCCCACTATCCCCTTTACCTGATCATTCTTTCACAGTCCTTTATAACTACTTGGGGAGGATGCCAGAAGATCCTCATTTTCTTCTTTTCGACAGTAGATACTGGTCAAATGGTCATGACTTAGTTGTTCACTTTGGGTAGTACTGGTGGTGATATTAATTATCATTTAAAATTTTTCAGGTCATAAAATTATCAGTCTCATTTATTTTTTTATTACATATTAATATTATGTTTTTATGAAATATTAATTTTTCTGTCTTTTTAATATGTAATTCGTGTACGGAGGGCTTCCTCATAACTTAATAACATAAAAATTGTTAATCTTATTTTCGCCTCACAACAATTGCACCTGTTGTGTGTTACTCTCCATGTGATGTGAGTATAATAACTAGCGTGACAAACAATTTCCTTACTAAGCTCAACTTGTAAATGTTAAAATGTTATAATATTTAAATTGTAAACTACATTAAAATAAAATATATTTGTTTGATCGGCCACCGGTCAATCATTTCAAGTTGATCAATGTGGTTAATTGGCACTGTGGTCATTTACACTTTTTTTTTAAAATCTATTTATACTTGTTTTTCTCGTTTGAGATATAATGGTAATTTTTCCTTCACATTGTATGACATCAAAGATATATATATTGAAGTGTGATTTATTGAGCGCTTCCTCACAATTTTAGAAAATACTCTAGTAATTATTAGTCTTAATATTTCTTTTCAATCGTTCGTTACTTTCGACAAGTGTAAATTGCATAACTTATTTATGAGTACGTGGAGAAATAATTTTCTATTGCGAAACAATTTCCTTGGGATTATTCATTATTTACCATACATAGAGTATCCTCTAACTTGTTCTTTAAAAACATGTAGAGTCTGCTTTCCTAAAATAGATTGTACTAAATTAAACTATAACAGAATGTATTATCATGACTCATATTTTATTACAATAAGCTGTTCACTTCATGAAACGTCGTTATTTTTTAACAGCAAAAACTACATGTTTTTATTCATTAACTTTGTTTGGTTGAGTGATAATGGGAGAGTGGAAAATTTAATAAGTTTGATTTTTTATGAAAATGAAGTAGGGTTGAAAGATTTTAATCAAATTTTCTTATCTCTTACTTTTATAACTTCTCTATATTAATGAAGGCACAATGATAGCTATCATTTTTCGACAGTGACAAGGTAATAGGTTTTCTTTTAAAATAAAATTTTTAGTGAGCCTCAATATTTAACTTGAAGTTCCTCAATTTTATTTATTTGCATGTTGAAAAATTTTTTAGCCAGGCTTGACATAAAAAAAAAAAAATCCTTTCTTTAAATATGACTAAAATTGTTTGGGGCATGCATTCATGTTAGGTGTGATTTATTAATCAATTTTGAAATAGTTATTTAAGTTTTGGAAACGTCGCACTAGTAGCACTGAGACTGGCAATTAGTTGACAAAAGTTCCTGTTCACATTTATTTTATTTACACAGTTGATCAATCTTTCCAAGCTCGAGACACAGGTAATAACACCAATCTTTTCACTAAATTGCTGAATTTATCCTTGTTGCATATAGATTTATTTAAAAAAAAAGTATGACATATATGCTTAGTCTTTTAAATCCACGTCAAATTTTAGTTTAATCTCAAATTTAAGATGTTAAAATTAAGAAACTAAAAGTACACTTTAAAAACTTAAGAAATTAAAATGAAATTTGATGTAAATTGAAAGTATCAAGCCTGTACAAAAAAAGGGGGAAAATAGTCACTTGCTATTAATGTATGCATCTTAAATAAGATTTATCTAAGTTACTATATCATCCCACATAATGGAATTGCTATTCAGAATGAACATAATGGATAACTATGCCTCAGTTGGACAGATTGCTTATGGAAATATATGCTGTCCATGAAAGATAAATAGATGAAGAACAGAGAAGATTTAAAACTAAAACCTTATGTAAACTACCAATCCTCACCACCACACTAAATTGTTGCCTTTGGAGGAGAAAAATAAAATTCCTCAATAAACAATATAATGTTGGTTAAATGAGTA